TGGTATATTTGTATCATGGAATGCTACACAACAATATAAAGGAATAAACAGCTGAGACATGCATCAATGTGGATTAATCTCAAAAATATGTGTAAAAGAAGCCTTTCACAAAAGAATACATACTGCATGATTCCACTTTTATGACATTCTGAACAGACAAAACTAATTTGCGGTAAGAAAAAATCACAATAGTTCTCTCATGTCAAGGAGTATTAGGAATTAACTGGGAAGGTGCATAAGGAACTTTCTGGGACGATGGTAATGTTCTATATCTTGGTAAGAATTCGGATTATACAGGTGTATGGATTTGTTAAAACTCATTTCACTGTATGTAAATTATACCCCAAAACAATGTAACTGTAAACAAATATTAAATTCTGGTTGATGTACATACTAAAGTTTTTAGAAGGAAAGTTTACTTAGACCATTTACCTTGAAATGCTTTTTTTAAAAGATTTTTATTTATTTGGGACGCCTGGGTGGCTCAGTTGGTTAAGCATCTGCCTTCAGCTCAGGTCATGATCCCAGAGTCCTAGGATCAAGTCCCACATCAGGCTCCATGCTCAGCAGGGAGCCTGCTTCTCCCTCTCCTTCTGCTCCCCCTGCTTGTGCTCTGTCAAATTTATTTTTTTAGGAGAGGAGAGAGTATGAGTGAGCGCACGAGCAGGGGGAGAGACAGAGGTAGAGGAAGCAGCAGACTCCCCGCCAAGCAGGGAGGCCGATGTGTGATTAGATCCCAGGACCCTGGGATCATGACCTGAGCGGAAGGCGGACGTTTAGCTGACTGAGCTGCCCAGGCGCCCTTGAAATGCATTTTTAAAATAAAATGGATTAATGGGTGGATAAAAGATAAATGGATACAAAGGTGATAAATGCAAACATGATAAAACGCTAATGGTGAATATATGGCATTCACTCAGATTCTTTCACTTGGCTGTATGATTAAAGTTTTTCATAATAAAATCTGATGAAGGGGGAACAAAGGCAGAACAATGTGTGTGATCCCATCAGCACAAAATTTTAAGATTTTTAAGAGTATAATTGTGCTGAAACACACATTAAAAGTTTTCCTGAAGACTACAAAAAACCTTTAAAACAAAATACGGTAAATCCACAAAATGGAATATTTCCTAATAAAAAGAAATGAAGCACTGATACATGCTACATGAATGAGCCTTGCAAACATGATGTCAAGTTAAAGAAGCCAGTCACAAAAGACCACATATTGTATGATCCCATCTATATGAAAAGTACAGAATAGGCAAATCTATTGAGACAATAGGTAGTGGTTGCCTGGGGCTGGGGGGCAGGGACTATGTAGGAATGGAGCGTGATTGCTAATGAGTTTGAGGGGCTTTTTTCTCTTCAGGTGATGAAAGGTTTCTAAAATTAGTAGTAGTGGGAGTGGCTGGGTGATGGACATTGGGGAGGGTATGTGTTGTGGGGAGCGCTGTGTATTATATAAGACTGATGAATTGCAGACCTGTACCCCTGAAACAAAAAATACATTGTATGTTAATTTAAAAATATAAATAAATAAATAAAAATAAAATTAGTGGTAGTGGTTGCATAACTGTGAACACACTAAAGACACTGACTCACTTTTAAGAGGGCAAATTTTATAGTATGTGAACTATATCTCACTAAAGTTGCGTTTTCCAAAAACGAAAACAAAAACAAAACAAAACAAAAATCTGAGTAGTGATTACCTTAGGGGAGAAGCTAAGGATTTAAGGGTTGACTTTTATTTTATGCCTTTAGAGACTGTCTGAATTATTTTCCATGAGAATATATTGTTTTTCAAACAATAATTTTAAGAGAAAACAATTGACAGTGTAACAGAAATAAAAGAGTGGAATGCAGGGCCCTGTGAAGAAGTGTTAGCCAAGATTAGACTAGGGTATTGGGGAGAAGCCTGTGGGGACAGGTGCTAAAACAGCTAAGTTCATGAGTCAGAGTAAAAAACTAAAGAAGCTGTAGCTGATAATCTCATCTACTCAAGTTAAAGTGGATGGGCTGGGATAAAGAACTTGAAGAGTGATATACGGAAGTCTGGGGTAGCTCCTAGAACAGACAGGGTGGTGAGTGGAAATGCAAGAATGAATGAAATATGGGTCTTTCTTGCAAGAGAGTAAGTTTCAGTCTTTTATGTTATGGGACATAAAACTTGGTATATGTCCTCAGAACAAGGCATCCTACTGTATAGAGATCACTGTTCGGAGCAATTTGGAGTCAGAATCTTCCTTCAATCCCTGGTAGTGGTGTGAGCTCAGAAAGATTACTTAACATCTCTAAGTCTCAGCTGTCTTATCCTTATCCATAAAATGGGCATAACTTCTACCCCAGGATTGTTGTGAAAACCTAATGATGAATATAAAATTCTTGGCACAATATACGGCATATAGATTTGATAAATGACAGCTATTGTGATTATTCATTCATACTTAAATCACTACCGTAAATAACACTAACATTTATTGCAGGTAATAATTAATTCCAGGTTACCATGTGCCAGGCTTTGTGCTAATTGCTTTATACATATTATCTAAGGTAATACAACAACACTATAAAATAAGTACCATTTTGCCTGCATTTTACAAATGGAACTGAGGCTTAGATCAAGAAACTTTCCAAAGTCACACAGCTGAAAGTTAGCAGAACCCAAATGATCCCAAGGGGCTCTGATTTCCAAGTCCACAGCCTTCATGTTGGGTACTCCAGCCAAAGACATCTTGTCCGAGAGCTTTGGTGATGAGGGGGGCTGTGCCTGACACCCATCCTGGTTCTGAGGTCTTACATTATCTAGTAGCGGCAAAGTCTGGCTCAAATTACGTGATTAATTCAGAGTATGATCTCAGAAGAGGTGAACTAAATTAGAGAATAAAGAAACAGAAAATCTGAACATCAGAGTATGGGCAAGACTATGAACAGAGCCAATCAATAAATACTCGTCCAATCCACCAATAAATGCACATATCTTATAGCAGACTTTCAGATTTGGGGAGCAGCATGGAGCTATGCAACTTAATTTTTTTTAATCTGCCTTTTTAAAGAATAATATAATGAACACCTATCATCAAAAAAATTACATTTTAATTCCCCCCAGCTATCCCATGGTTTAGTCTCAATTAAAAAAAAAAAAAATCTAGGGGCGCCTGGGTGGCTCAGTTGGTTAAGCGACTGCCTTCGGCTCAGGTCATGATCCTGGAGTCCCGGGATCGAGTCCCACATCGGGCTCCCTACTCGGCAGGGAGTCTGCTTCTCCCTCTGACCCTCCTCCCTCTCATGCTCTCTGTCTCTCATTCTCTCTCTCAAATAAATAAATAAAATCTTAAAAAAAAAAAAATCTAATGTGAACTTGATCTAATAGAAACCAACAGGATACACTATTATATAAAAATCTGGGAAACAGGAATTGGACTGTACATTTACTTTGCCTCCATTATTATATTTATTTACAGGCAGGAGGCAATATTATAGTTAGATATTCCACTGAAATCAACATAGATTTCTTGGAACCCTAAAATTCTTGTTACCAGTTTCTTCTCCTTATAAATCTTTAGACATTACATGTGGTTACGTTTTGAAATACGAACTTGCTGAATTTACAAGATTTTTCCCTCCCCAACTCAGTTTAACTGAGCATGAAACATTGACTGATTAAACTCTACTAGTTCCAAATCTGATGTGATTTAATTAGCTGAGATCACACCTCAATCAAATGCTTTAAAGCACTGATTAAAGATGACACTTCTCTTGTCACATCACAGTGAGGTCTATGTCCCCTCCACCTGCATCTGAGCAGACCCTGTGACCGCTTGACCAATGAAATATGACAGAAGTTATGCCATGAAAGTCTCTGGGCCCAGGCCTCCAAGAATTTGCAGTTTCCCCTTCCAGTCTCTCTTAGAACGATCATTCTTAGAACCCAGTTGCCACACTAGGAGGAAGCCCCATAGGGAGACCCATGTCTTAAGAACTGAGGCCTCTGGCTGAACCCCAAGGCAACAACCAGCACCAACTTGCCAGCCCTGTGAGTGAGCCATGTTGGAAGTGGATTCTCCTGCTCCACTTGATAAACCCAAGTTCACATTTGAAGAGCAGAGACAAGATGTTCTTGCCAAGCCCACCCAAACCGTGTATTTGTGAACAAAACAATTAACTGCTGGGGCCATGCCTCTAAGTTTTGTAGTAGTTTGTCACACAGACACTGGGCCGCTCCCCAACATGACATCCCCCTAGTCATAAACTGATTTTCTCAAGATGAAAGCCTGAACATACCAACCCCATTGCCTCATAGCAAAGTTGATCAAATCTATTATTTGTATGGTTCAAAAGGCCACGGGGGTCTGAGACAAACAAACAAACAAACAAACAAACAGCCAGGCTCCTGAAAACTCTTCACTGCTTCTTTATTAGGATGCACCCCTAGTACAGAACCTCTCACATGTCTGCGAAAGGGGAAGGTTACAGTTCTCTTTGGGAGCACCTTCATTTTTGTTTCTGTTACCACTTTGAAGAAAGTAAATCATTTTCAAAGAAAGACATTTTTAATTCCAAGTGTTTAAGACCCAGCTTGCATTTTGCTGTGTTTGAAAAGGAAGTAGCATATTATAGCCAGAGCTGGAAGATTGTTTTGTGGCATTTTAACTTTGATGTGGATCAGAAGTCTTCACTGTCTGGTTGAACCAGTCCATAATTTTCATATGCAACTTTTCATATCAAAAAATGTATCATTTTTACCTCTACCCACAAACAGATGCTGTTTTAAACACACACACGCACACGTACACACACACACACACAATTAAATTTAAAACCAATATGAACCACAACATTTCTAACAGGGAAAATAAACTTTTGCTGCCCTCTCCTGCTAAAACAATGAAATACTAAAATACAAAGAGATTTATGAAGCTAAAGCGAAATTCTCAAACCAAAAGCAATGGATGTGTCATTCTCGTTATACCTCGATCAAAAATCAGACAACAACCAGAAAATGTATTGGTAATATTTATATTTGAAAGTTCCCCACTGATACATGAGGTCTGGATTACAACTTATTTACAGTAAGTGATTCCAAAAAAAAAAGCCAAGTCAGGGAAGGGAAGGAAGGAGGGGGTAGGGTGGGAGGGAGGGGAGAAGAAGGGAGGGGAAAAAAGGAGGGTGGGAAGGAGGCAGGGAAGAAAAGGAAACCTATATTCATAGACATCATCAAATGGGATGTTTATTTCCAAGAGCTACTACCGCTGCTGTCGTGCACAAGAAGCAGCACAAATTAACATTCCACTAGATCAAAATTTGCTCAACTTTCTCTCAAGATGCACAATCCTTTTAGATTTTCAAAATTAAATACCGAGAAATATAAAACGCATCGCCAATATGCCTACTACAAAAATCCTTTGTGGGTCATTCCTTAACTTCACTCAGAGAAGCAGCCGAGCCAGAATATAAAAATAAAAATATCGATGTGCAAATAAAACACCACTGATCATGTCTGGTGCCACCTTTTGCTACAGGTGACAACACTTTGTGATAAGGTTGGTTATAGCATCAAAAGAAGAGAATCTCTTCATTTCCTGGGCCAGCTCAGTGCACCTAATTAAAGGGGAAGAACAAAACGAGAGGAAAAAAAACAACAACACAAAAAACTCTTAACACTTAAAAATGCCAGTAACATCCATACATCTTCCCTTTCCCACCCCACCCCGATCCCCACAAAAAAATAAAAAAGCTTTTAAAGCTCTAAATATACTTTTTTTTTTCTTTCCATAGTGTGATTGAGCCTAGGGCTATACATTTAAGTATAGCAGGTGCAATTACAAGCAATTCCTGGCTCTGCACCCTGGACTGCCCCACGCATAGAAGGAGGTACAAAATAAATTAAACCCTTCCATTTAGGCAAGCAAGCCCAAGATGAAGGAGCAATAACCCTGCTTGTGAGTATCCAGCGGCATCGAGGGTATTATTTATTTCTTACTTTTTTTATTTTTCATTTTATTTTATAAAAAACAGATGTCAGGGAGAGCAAAATATAATAAAATTTAAAGAACAAAAACGAGACACTGATGGGAAACAACTGGGGACACTTGCACAATGAGAAAAGGAATGCATGCTTGATTCAAAGTATGAGATGGGTCAATTCACTCACATGGTTGTTCTGGGCCCACAACCCAGGCCCCAGCATCATTCTAAACCACAGGGTTTGGTTTAGTTTGGTTTGGTTCTTCCAAAGACACTCTTTATCCTACCCCTGAAACCAATATGGTAGGGATGAGGTTGGAGTGATCATCACTCACTAACTACAATATTTGCTATTTAAAAAATATATTTATATATAGTTCTGGAAATTAGGAAGCGAACAAAATATAACACGAAGATGCATTTGTCACAATGAACTCAAGTTGCAGCAACAGCAGAAATGGGGGAGAGGACAGAGAGAGAGAGAGAGAGAGGGCTGCTGTAAACGCAGCAAGTACAGCCTTAACTATGTCACATAGTGCAACAGTCAGATTACCTCAGTTACTCTGCGTCACCGGACACAACATGACAGATGTCACATTGTCACTTTCGGTTAAAAAAGGAAAGACAGTGTTTCTTCTCAGAAGTTGCCCTATACATTTTAGACATATATTTGCAATTGCTTCTGTAAATATGTCTAAAGTTTGGCTTTGTTCTTCTCAGTTTGGAATGATCAACATACAGAATTAACATCAAGGGTATCTGTGCAGTCCTCACCGTAACTCGGAGCGCAGGGAAAGGCGCAAAACGGGGTCCTCGTCTTTCTCATTTCAAATGACTGCATTTCATTTTAATGGGCAGAGATCGTTCATAAACCTGCGATTTTAATGTCTTCTATCTAAAAAGATGAATTGATGGCAAACGTAAGTTTATACTGTCCAAAACAAATGCAGTGCAGAGTCAAAGCTAACAGGCTCAAAGCAAAAGGGCTAAAGGAGATGATTTGTTACAAATTTATTTTTTGTCTTTAGTGTTTGAACTTGCACCTTTGCTCCAGCACTTTTAAAGTAAGTGGTTTCATTTTGGCAGCCTCCGCTGGCTTTACATTGAATCCCCATTAATGTTCTTGAAAAAAAAAAATCTCTTCATTCCATTAAACCATGTTGTGTTGGGTGTTGCATATGACTCTTTTACTGCTGTTTCTTTTTCAGAATTAACATAGCCAAGTTTTGTTTCTGTTTTACAAAGTTACTGAGATGACAATATCCAACTGTGACCTGATAATCCTGAAACACTTAGTAGGGGAGAAAGGTCAGCGGCTTTTTTTTTTCCTTTTTCTTGGAAACAATAAAACTGCATATTCTACTTTATATTTAAGTGGAAGGAAGAGAATATACAAGTCCATATTGATACTATATTTCTATTAAAAGCAACGACAGTTCATATGTTCATGTTTGCTACCATCACAATTCAGTACATGAACACAGAATCAGCTCTGTGCCATGAATATTGCTGGAGGGGATGGTTTAGGATTATCAACTCACTGCTGCCACATCCATAACAAGCAAAAGCATCCTGAAAATAAGTTCCAAAACACGTATCTTGCAGTACATAATAATGCAACCGCATCAAGTAAGTACATACTGGACACAAATTTCATCGGCATTTTATCTCCCGAAGATGTAAGATTCCTCTTTTAAATACAAAGCAGAGAGCCAATAAGATATACCTATAATACAGCCCTAAATTTTGTTTTGTTTTTCATTTTTTTCTTAAACAATTTGGTCACAATGCACCTTTGATATAAAAGCATTTTTAAACTTTATTATTAATACTCAGGACATTAGGGATTTCCAGATTCTTTTCAGTAGCATTTGTAGAACCACTTTTGGTAACAAATACAGTAGTTAGGAATATGCATCCAATTCAGAATGCATAGTAATGTTTATCCTGAATCCTTTCTGGCTAAAAACAGGGCTGGCGCTGTGATGAGATACAGAACGAGAATCTACAAAAAACACTGTAATATGTTTGTTTTTTCCCAGAGGTTACATCCTCTTTTGCTGGAATACTTTATAAATACATATTAAAAAGTAAGGCAACAACTCCAAACAGTCCAAGCTGTTTGCTCAACTCTCTTCCCAATTAGATTCGCAATCCTGGCGATCAATTTCATGGTTGTACTGTTTAGTGTTTGTCTTTCTTATTACAAAATGGTCCAAAAGGATGTTTTCTGACATTTCTCCAACATCTCTGGTATGTGTGTTCAATGATGTATGCAACTAATACTGGTCAGCTACTGAAGCCTCTGATGTCCCAGTGCCTGTTTTCAAAGGATTCAAGACATTGATTTGGATTCGCCATAAACTGATGGAGGAATCCAAAATTCCCTTCCCTACTATGTTTATCACCGCTTCTCTTTTACTCCTAATTTTAAAACTAAAGGAGTACCAGGGCTACCTGGTTACTGGAAAGATGTTCACTCCAGTCAGCAAAACTTTTATCAGGGGCCTGTACAATTCCTGGCCCCATTCCACATGGACATTCAACTCATGAAGATGTGCAAAAGGAAAAGATGTTAAGTTACAGTCAAGTTATCCAGAGGAGGATGTTATACAAACTTATAAGGAAATGACAGTCTTTTTTTTTTTTTCTTCCGTTACTATAAATACATTTAACAGCTTAGCAGAAAGACAAGCTAAATTTAAGATTGTTCACATTTGAAAATTGTTTCATACTCTCTGCTAAGGATAAATAAGGAACTCCTGATAACAGAATTTCAACACGGCCATTTCATCAACAGATCTTTGAAGACTGCTTTTTGCTTTTTAAAGAGGGTTAGAACAATGATTATGTTTGCAAAGTTCTGAGAAGTCCATCTACTGTCCAAACTTTGGATTGAAGTCCTTATTTTTTTTTTCCTTTACTTAGAGACAGGTATATACAGTGCTGTTGTAATAATGAAACAGATGTGGAATCTACTGCAAAGTTGCACAATACAGAAAACTGCTGCTCCATCTTCTACTACATAAATGTGTGACCCCACAGGTTAGTGACGCTGCTGTAATTATTTCTGTTAAGTTGGAATTATGCCGTCACGTCTAAGCCCCCTCTTTAATTCCAGATCCTCCAGTTTTTTCCACAGTTCTTCACGCTCTTTTTCTTTCTTTTTCTCACTGCGGGTAGAAAACGGAATATAAGGTAAACAACTAGGAAAGTCTGAAAAGACTATCTAACAATAACTGCCCCTTTGACATACTTCTCCCCCCATGCAGGTTTTACAAGTAGTCTTTGGAAAGTTTGGCATTAAGCTTGTGGGTGTTTTCTCTTTTCAGTTCTTCTCTTGTTTTTTTTTTCCCCCTTGATATGTACATGCACGGAAAAGTAGCATTAATGTACTAAGCAAGAGATGACAAGCCTATTTTAATATTTCACATTAATATTCCTTTATACTTAGCTTAATAATGAAAGTTAACTTCAAAACAAAAATGGGGATCATTTCCATGTATCGATTATCCTAAAGACCCAAAGATACATTAAGTGATTTTTACGTGGGCTCTAGTTAAAATTTAATTTTCCCTTTGCCTCCACAAATAGTTTCTCAAAAGGAAATGCTAGAGATTATACTAATGCAGACAAAGTAGTAGGTCAAGAAAATGTACTTCCCCTTTAGTATTATCTATTTCCCCTACACTAAGTATATTAAACTCTTTAGCAGAATCTTGTTCTTACTAGTATTAATAACCCACAAAATCTAAGTTATTAACTTATTTTATATCTATATATACAACCAAATTAAATGTGTTTTTTTGTGTGATTTCAGTTTTAATGATCTGGAAAGAACTTTGTTGACATGATTATGAATCAAATTTTTAATGTTCCAAGCCTTCAAAATTCGGCTCAGTATCAGGCTGACTAGTAATTTCCAGATTTTCAGATTTCGCTGTTTGGTAAATTTGACTATAAAACTGGGTGTCCAAAATGGGGTTAACAAATTTTATTTGTCAAGGACATTTTAGATCACCATATTTTTATAAGGATGTTAATTTTTTTTTTAATTAATTGGTTTTTTTTTTTTTTAAGATTTTATTTATTTATTTATTTGAGAGAGAATGAGAGGCAGAGAGCATGAGAGGGAGGAGCGTCAGAGGGAGAAGCAGACTCCCTGCCGAGCAGAGAGCCTGATGCGGGACTCGATCCCGGGACTTCAGGATCATGACCTGAGCCGAAGGCAGTCGCTTAACCAACTGAGCCACCCAGGTGCCCCAAGGATGTTAATTTTAACATCAACCAGGTATAGAAAGTATAAAATAGAGGAATATATGACTATACTGTAAATTAAGTCAATTCCCATTTATTAAAAATAATCCACTGCTGCCCCTAGCTTTCTCATACTGCGATGAACCAGTAAACAACAGACTCAGATAATATTTGTGAATCCATAAATTCAGGTAATTCCTGAAAATGGGGGTTCTGCCATCTCAGGCATGGGGAATATGGTCTTTATGCTACTTCACCCAGCAAGGATTTAACTTCAGTTACAATACAATGTTTACTCAGGGAAATGCACATAGGTTAAGTGAAACTTGTATTTAATTCCAATGCCTCATATTTTTTAATATCACCAATTTTTTAAAAAAATTATTCGATACCTATACCAACACAAATTAATTCATCCCTCCTCCCGAAAAATATCTCTAGAAATACCTAATTTTATATTCTCATTCCACTAGTCTTGAGAAAATATTTAATTATGCAATATATTAATTAATATTATCATGTCATAATTAATATTTTGGCAATTTAGGCCTTGTATACTGGAACTAGTTTCAGCTATCTCGAATACAATTGGCACAATACGAATTTTAAAGGGCATAACAATTTTTGAAATGGTTATCTACTGGGTAATTCTGACCCTGAAAAATTGTATTTACAGAGCAATAGGGACAAAATTAGATGATCCTCCAGTCATTATGAATTCCAGATTCTTAACTGTAAGCTGTCTGGTAAATTAATCATTTTTGGTTTCTCAGTAAAAGTATAGGAATAATATTAGGTCTAAATAAACGTTATCATAGAACACTGATAACCTTTTCATTTGGACGAAAAAGAAGGTGGTAAGCAAAGGCTTAGAAACTTTCTTCAACTAAAACACAGGTTAAACACATGTTAGGTTCATACTGCCCCAATCTGAAGTTTAAATTAAGTGCTGACATCATTAAAACACTCCTCATCTTGCTACTGAAGCATTTCGTTCACATCTCTGATCAAGAATTTTATGGCATTCAATACAATTTATTGAATTGTGGGGCTTTTCTTCCACATGAACTTTATGCTGAGTTATTATACATCTTTTATACTGACAACTTTGTCTTCAAAAATTCTAAATATTTCTGAAATAGTTACTACTGTCCCATTCTTTCCTCCTTTTCTCTCTCCCTATAGGTGGGAATTTTAAAGCTTTAACCACACTGTCATGGCTGTCATGCTAGGGATAGGGATACTGTCAATTCTCTTCCAATTTCAATTTCACATAGCACGAATGTTGGCATATGTATCTAACAGTGCTAGCTATTTATTCCACTCACCATTTTCAGATTTGTATAAAAATTTGATCTGCACTGAAACACTTCAATTTGGTGCCATCCAGAAGTGAACTCCTCCAGGTAGCTCTTCTCTAACAGCACCAAATAGATCTCTCTTTTCTCTTTTCCTAGTCCCACATCCAGGGAGAAGCCAATGTTTCCATCTATTCAGCACAATCTTCCATTACTCATTTGACAAAATACTACCCTTACTTTAAAAAAATCCTTCTCTCATTAAGAAAGTCCGCTCACGATAAGTCACTCTAATACACCAGATCTTTGGAATCAACTTTGCTGTGTCTATTCTTGGACCCCTTGGTCAATAGGTATCTTTTCCAAGAATTTGGTCTATTTAGCTTAAATGATAAATGATCAGAAAACAGTTTTACTACCTAAATTCAATAAATATTAATTAATTTAATTCAATTTGACTATTTTAGAAATAAGGTCTTCATTTCTCTTAATGGGATTCTACAGATTTTTATTTAATCCTGATTCACGTAGGATAACAATCATGGGTTTTCAGTTGCTATAAAAAGAAAGGACAACACACTCTATAATGGTATGCCACAGTATGAGAATGTGCCCTTTATTTCCTCTACTTAAATAACATTTTTAAAGACTTGAAGTTTAACACAAGGAGGGTTACAAATGTAATGATTTACAACAACTGTAAATACTTAAATTAAAAGTTCTTTAAATTACAAGTATGGCACAACATATCCCATAACTGATATTTACTCCAATATTATATAAAATATCCCAGCCTCTTCTGTCTATAGTTGCCATATTCCATAATTAAATTGCTCTTCAATATAACCACATCCTGGTAATTTCTATAAAAAATCACTGTGATAGTCCTTTACCCCACCACCAAATCTTCCCCTCATTGTTCTTTTTATCAGTAAAATTCAAGTAACCCATGCAAAATCAAGCAAAGCAAAGAAGCAAGGGAACCACAGATAGCTTTGTTCAGGAGGTTCAGCAAGGTCTTGGGTATGAACACTCGTACACATCCCCGGGATCTTCTAAAATGCATGGTTTTATAATACTGAAAGCTGACATTTGCTTCTGGATCCAAGCCAAACCAGAAGCCCAACTACTGACAAGCTCTCTAGACCTTCCTTAAGTTCACCAAGTATCTCAATCCCATGGTCTGAATATTTGTGTCCCGTCCCGCCCAAAAATCTTACGTTGAGATCCTCACCCTCATGGGTGAAGGGCTCAGTAGCTGCACCTTTGGGAGATGATTAGGTCATAAGGCTGGGGCCCTCAAGAATGGCATTAGTGACCGTAAGAGATCCTACAGAGATTCCCTGTCCTTTTCTATTGTGTGAGGACACAGTGAGAAGGTGACGGCTAGGAATCAGAAATAGGTTCCTTATCCAACCATGCTGGCGCCACGACCTTAGCTTTCCTGCCTCCAGAACTCAAGAGATATAAATTTCTGTCGGTTATAAGCTACCCATAGCTTGGTGGTATTTTGTTTTTAGCAGCCCAAATGGACCAAGACAACATCTTTTGGAAAGTTGGACATGTTGAACGAGAAATAACAAAGTTCAAAAATCATGTAAATGAAATCAAGAAAGACTTTACTAAGCCATAAGCGTTTATGTAAAAAGAGCTCAACTGGTTTTAACTACTTTTTGGTCTCAAACATTTTAAGATTTGTATAATACCAGACTTTTCACGTCCATGTTCTTTTCACTGTCCTTTAAATCCCAATGAACTTGTGTTCTAGAACAGTTAAGTAAGTTCGGGGCCAAAGAGCTCAACAAAAATGGTGCCTCATCTCTCCTGCTGCTGGAGTGAAGTACACAAGATCTGCCCAATTTCAGTTCAAATAAGTTCAGAATGGGAGTGAACCCAGATGGCAAACTACCCAACAGACCCCTTCAAGGGGTCTGAAATATGAGTTACATGCCAGGCCCTTAACCCTGAGGCAAAAGAGAAACATTATTGAAGGGAAGGAGGAAAGCAGCCTTTCTTAAAATGATACTTTGTTACCTAGTGGCATGCTATTAAAGACACAGCTAACGAGCATGCAAAAATGAACATATAAATAAATAAAACTGTGCTGCTTATGATTTCGGGTGCAATTAGGCAACTGCAGTAAAGAGCAAGGAAAGAACTCAACAGTTTTTATGCACAGCTGACAAAAAAGCTTTAAAAAGTTACCGCTGACGATCTGACTTGTATGTGGCTGTCAGCTCATCAAACATGGTGCTGTTCATTTCCATAAACGCCTTCAACACGTTGTACACCAGCGCCACGATAGCCCTGGAAGCGCAGAGACAAGAGAACGTGTTGGTTAGTCTTACGTGATGGGAGCTGCGTGGAGAGAGCGAGAGCACAACCTGTGTCTGGATGAGTTCTTTGTATTGCTGAATCTCCAGCCCTTCTTAGTTAAAACTAGAAAGGACCTACAGTTCATTTCCACATCAAGAGAGTTCCATTCTTTACTCTTCTGGGCAAGATATCTTTCTGAGGGGTTGGGAGGATTAGAAAAAGAAAAATCTAATTTTGCCCTTCTAATTATTGGTAACCAGCATAGACTTGCTGTGGGCACTCGTTAACTTCATTTAATAAAAAGACAAGTCTAGGGGCGCCTGGGTGGCTCAGATGGTTAAGCATCTGACTTCGGCTCAGGTCATGATCCCAGGGTCCTGGGATCGAGCCCCACATGGGGCTCCTGGCTCAGCGAGGAGCCTGCTTCTCCCTCTCCCTGCTCATGCTTTTTTTCTCTCTCTCTAGCTCTGTGTCTCAAATGAATAAATAAAATCTTTAAAAAAAAAAAAAAAAAAAGACAAGTATAAAAATAAAGCCACTTCACCCTAAAAAGGAGCACCTGTGCTAGGACTAACCTTAGAGACTTGAATTTGCACAGAATGTTTTATTTATTTATTTATTTATTTATTTATTGGGGGGGGGAGAGAGGTGGGGGGGGGGGGGCAAAGGGAGAGAATCTTAAGCAGGCTCTACGCCCAGCACGAAAACTGATGCTGGGCTCGATCTCACAACTCTGAGATCATGACCCGAGCCAAAGTCAAGAGTTGGATGCTTACCGGACTAAGCCACCCAGGCGCCCCCAGAATTTTATTTTTAAAGTGATAATATACATAATTCATCAAAATCAAAAGCTGTTCTCATGGAAACAAATAATATGTATATTATTTATATTCAAAGATATGATACCACACCCCTGTAAGTTGGGTAGTTTAATATGAGTTAAGTTTCTAGTTGTGATTTGTTTCAGTCCATTCACTCCTGCTAAGTCTCCTTGCTGACCCAACACATACTCTGGTAAGGTGACTGGCAAGCTACTGACGGCTGCTATTAGCTGTGGAACAGCTAAATGGCCAAAATGGCAGCACATCTTTATCAAGAGGAAGAATAAGCTCTTGACAATATGAGGACTGTGCCCATGACAGGCTTGGTATCTTCAGACTAGACTCTAAATAGCATTGCCCTTTGCAAAAATGTACATTACCACTGTTTTGCAACAGATCTGCTACCAATACTGCTGAAGAAGGCATTGGTAAGTTAGGCCACAGGTTAAACAAACCATGGGTTTAATGTTTCCAAAACATAAGTGTACTTGCTGTGTCGCTTCTGCCCTGTGCCCATTAAAAGGAAAACTTCAGCTCTCTTCTGCTGAAGTGAATGACCTTCTCATGTACAATGGGCAGGGATGGAGAAGGGCCACTTACAGCACATTGAGGCGTGACAGACACTCGCCAGAACCACTCTCTAGGTCCTCAAGAGACTACCGGCATGATGAGACTTCACTATTCCTCAGTTCTTTATTTTTACAAGTTTTAGTAACAAAATTTGGCAATTTGAAAAATGAGAAATGTGGTATTTTACAGCTGTATGCAAACTTCAAAATACATACTATGAATAGACTTAATTACATCTACTAATATCTAATACCACACTAAATTTTCTTTCTATTCCACAGAGAAACATGTTAAAGCCATTCAAATGCAGAATGCTTTAACTTTCATAGGACTAGATGTTAAACATCTCCTTTCAAGATTTTAAACTTGTTTTTTCCTAGAGAACATGAACAATGACTGAGTTGGTTTTTAAGAAATGGATCATGCTAAAATGCAAATCAATTCAAACACTTTCTGCTTTATGACTTCTTGGTGTTTCCTTATCTTTCACTGGTGAAGGTTCATGTGGGCTGTACTCTCCTTTTAAACCCCATCTTCCAGCATCCTCCCCAAAAGACCGGGTACTTTAGCCCTCCCAAAATCACAGGTTTCAGAATCTGACAGGTGATTTTTACATTTGGGGGCCTTTTAATGTGAAGAAGAGACCCACACTACCAAAGGGCCTCCCTCATCCCAACCACCTGCTGAATTCCTGTAGACTCAGTTTGAGCATCACCACCTCGTCAATATCCGTAAACCCCTCCTCTCGCTCCAGAGCATCCCCAAAATAGTTCTGCTACATTCACAGACAAATCAGGAACCCCTCAAGTAAGCGATATTTTAATATAACAGCATTTTAAAAAACACTGTTTTGTAAAATATCTGTTTATTTGTGAGTCTCCGTAATCCGGTCAGTAAATTTCTAAAAGACGGGCATTGTCATGTACCTGTCTTCACCAACAGGCACAGCATCCGACACATAGCAAGCATTCAAGACATTTTATTAAGCAAAAGAGAAGAAGGGAGGGAGGGAGGGAAGGAGAAGTGAGGGAGAGAAGAGGGGAGAGGGGAGAAACTGAAAACCTACGGATTCCAATGTTCTTTTGAAATCCTATAAAGACTGGAAAACATGATGGGAAGGATGACATTAGAGTTTTCTTCTATCAAACTCATGATGTATTCATTATTCCAATAATACAGTGCCCTTTCTGCCACCTTTGGAAAAAAAAAAATAAAATATTAAGAGAGAGAAAAAGATAAAACAAATTAAAATCTCTCCAAACAAAAATACTTTAAGACTATTTTTATATCATTCAATCAAATGTGAAATTAAATATTAATCACACTTTACATTTTTATGGATTTAAATTTCAGAAAGTTCCAAAGTGGTTCATCAATTTGGGGAAGGAAAAAAGTTTTCCTGCCTATTTCTTTATGTTTTCCTTTAATGCTGCCCATTTCATCAGATTCCACATTTTCCCCACCCAGCCCCCAAACTCCAAACACCTCTCTCAGATGCACACTGCTGTCCCTGTATCTTTAACCCTCTTCTGGCTCACTTCTTTCATCCCAAACACTTCAACCTAACCGGAGGGCCCAGCACACAGCTGGTATTCGGGCAACAGCTGCTGAGAAAAACCCAGCTGCTCATCTCTGCAGAACACTCCCATTTGCTGAGCACGTCCTCTGGCCAGCCGCTGGGCCTACTGCAGAGAGAATGTGCCGTCCTTACCGCCATCCGGGACTAGGTACCATTGGGTTCACTGGACAGATGAAGACACTGAGGCTCAGAGAGACTAATACCCTCACAAGGTCACATTGCTAGTAAATGGTGAAAGCTGGGACTCAAGTCTAGTGACCAGACTCTTTCCAAAGTTTATTTCCGGTCCCTCCCTTGTTGAACTGGGTAAGCTGGGAGGGAGTCACTCAGTTTCTGGACTTAGAGACACCGACTGTACACACACTTGCTTGCTATCTCTGATCCCTTTTTCTCTGACCACCGTGCTATCCAACTGACTCTATGAATTCAAAGGAAGGCCTCAAAAAAATAACCTAAACAATCTAAAAAGTAATCAAACCAAAAATCTCAAAAAAGCTAAAATATCTTAAAAGGGTAGTGTTTAGAAGGGAAAAAGAAAAAAGAGTGGCTTCTTTCATCCATCCAGATTAAGAAATTACATTCTAATTTAATAAATTAAACTTAAATTTAATAATTTAATTTAATGACATGGTACAAGATGTACCCACCAACAGACTCTGAGAAATTAAGCCTTTCCATATTACATTATTCAACTTGCTTCAAAAAAAAAAAAAAAATCCTGGGACTCATGAGGCACTAGACCCTGAGAGTACAAAGCAAACAATCATTATTGAATGTTTACTCTATTCAGGCACTGTGCTAAGTGTTTCACATATATATTACCTCATGTAATCCTCACAACCAACACACAGCATCTGTACCATTATTTCCATTTTGCAAATGAGGAAAATGAGGCCAGAGTAGGTAAGTCATTGCCTCGAGGCCCCATGATTAGAAAGTGGCAGACTCCAAAGTCACTGCTTTTAACTTCTCTACTCTGTTATCCCTTTGGAGCTTGTGTGCCTGTGGGGAAAGGGACATCTATGAGCCTATCTGAGGTAAACCGTGACAGATGGAGAAACAAAGCGCCGGAGGAAAGAGCGGCATGGACGATCTGGATGACCTGGGGGAGAGGAGGAGCTGCGGGAAGGTAACACATGAGGGCAGCACCGAAGCCGGCTTTGAAGGATGAAGCAAAGGAGGAAAAGGCACCCAGGCGGAGGGAATGACAGGAAAGGGGGACAGAGGTGCCCCCATGGGCCGGAAACCATGCAGCACGTGGTACGGCCGAGGCAGGTAGAGCCCAAAGAAAAAGAGGGACAAGCGGAGGAATGGGGGTGACGTTCTGAAACTTACAACGGAAAGGAGGAAGTTTTAAAGAGACCCCAGGAGGATGCTGGTAAAGGAGGAGAAATCTAGGATTTTCCTACATGCAATTAGGAGTCTAATGTTTACTTGCTACTTAACGCCAACAAGTATTTTAATCAATGTATCTGTTGCTATGCAAAATCACTTACAGAGAGTAAGTCAGTATCCAGCAAAGCCCCTTAAAGAGGAAAGGCGCTGCTTATGCAAAGTAAAAATGAGCATGTCTAACACTAGGAGAGAATCATTACTTTCCTGGGACCCACCATCCCCTTGCACATTGGCATGGTCTGTTTGGCGCCCTCTGAACCCGATGCCACACCGGGGGGGGCGGGGGGGCAAAGAGTGAAAGGTGTGTGGCTACACAGAGTGGCACTTGAAAAATGTTTGCTGGATGCACCAATGAACACTTAATAAATGAATAACGAAGAACCTCTTTACTGTCCTTTCTTTTGTTCTAAATTTTACTTCTGTCAAGTAATTTTAAATTCTCTTTTCTTTCTGCTATGGACTAAATTGTCCCCGCAAATTCCTATGTTGAAGTCCTAACCGACAGTGTGAGTGTATTTGGAGATAGGACTTTAAGGAGGTAAAATTAAGGTTAAATGAAGTCATAAGGGCGGGGTCCTAATCCAATAGGCCTGGTGGTCTCAAAAGGAGGAAGAGAGAGATCTCCTTTTCTTTCCTCACCCATACACCAAGGAAGGCCATGTGAGGACACAGGGAGAAGGCAGCCAGCCATCTGCAAGCCAGAGGGGGAGCTCTCACCAGAAGATGACCAGGCTGGCACTCTGGTCTCAGACTTCCAGCCTCCAGGATTGTGAGAAATAAATTTCTGTGGTTTAAGCCACATGGCCTGTGGTGTTTTGTTATAGAAGCCTGCTGTGATCTGAATGCTTGTGTCCCCACAAAATTCCTATGTTGAGATCCTAATCTCCAAAGATGATGGCATTAGGAGGGGGGCCTTTGGAAGGTACTGAAGTCATAAGCATGGAGCCCTCATGAATGGGATTAGTGCTTATAAAATAGGTTCCAAGGAGATCATTAGCCCTTCTGCCAAGTGAGGATACAAGAAACCCACAGCTCAGAAGAGAGGCCTCACTCAACTGTGCTGGCACCCTTATCTCAAACTTCCAGCCTCCAGAAACAAGAGAAATAAATTTCTGCTGTTTATAAGCCACCCAGTCTGTGGTATCTTGTTATAGCGGCCTGAATGGACAGCCGTAACTGACCAGACACTTTGTCTCCTTTCTGAGCTTCTGAGCATCATTTAAGCCTCCCTGGTGATCTTAAAAGAGATTTCTGAAAGAAGACAGAGAGAGAGAGATCCCTGCTCCCTGCTTTCCACAATGTCAAACCTCCTGATGAAAAGTGAAAAATAAGGTAGGCAATCCAGATGCTTGAGCACTCATGCCATGTATAATATGCAAAACACCTACATAGTATCCTGCAATTGTTCTGTGTTTATCTAGACATGTGCTGTATCATCTGCATGCAACGTAATGGTTCATAAAATGGTTTCCACTTTTTGTGGGGTGGGGGGGAGCTTTGTGGTACAATCTCTAGATTGTCAGAGGATCACTACCTTGACATAACTAACATGTCTTTAAGTCAAAAATTAAAACAACAGCAGCCAATGTCTCTAACTATTCAGGATAATGAGAGCTCAGGGAAAAAGTCCACTGCTGAGTCTACCACATTAGCGGTGGGATTCTGCACTACCAACTAGAATCTGAACAATCTCTCTGAGTCAACAGTCAGTATATGAAGAGTTAATCTTCAAGGTCTGTGATACGGACCTTTGGTGAGACAGCGAAAGGATATAAAACCTGACATGTTTTCGCTCCAGATCACCCCCTTCCCTCCTGTGTGGGTTCTGCAGCATGGCAGCAACAGCCCCAGTTGAGAAAAAGGTTGCCGGGTTCGCTTCCCTGTGATGCCCCGCAGTGGCCACAAGGAGGCAGAGTGGTGCCATGGGAAGGTGACCGGCTTTCACAAGAAGCGACACCTAATTGACTTCACTCCGTATGAACTTGGGGCCTGAAGCAAATCATTCTGAGTCTCAAGGTTTTCATCCAGAAAACAGCGGGGGCAGGGGTGAGCGGGGAGGGTAGAGCCTCATAGGATAACGTGAAGTTTACGAATAATGTACGTAAAGCATCTAGCACAGTATATATGTGTGTTCTTTTTGCCTCCTAAGCTTTATTTCGCATTCTCTTACACGCTGTAGGAACCCTACCAGTCCACCTCTTACTCGGCCATTTTATTTGAGACAAGTTATTTTACCATTTTGAACTTTAGTGTCCACATCTGTAAAAATCATAACACCCTCCTTGTAGAGTGATCACAAGAACTGAAGTTACGAGGCAGAAAGCACAATCAAAGCAGCTGTCATATTGCACGTGTTCAAGATAAAGGGGGTTATTATAAAAATTATTACTGAATGAAGAAATAGCAAATAAAAAACAACAGGTAGCTAGTGCCCATTACGTGTCTTTCAATAAAAATAAAATTTAACCAAATAACATATGTGGTACAGCCCACTCCAGCTCATCCTCTCTTTACTACCAACCTGAAAATGGGGGCTAGATACACACTTGGCAATTTGTTTAAACAAAGGTTCTTGAATTTTAACAAATTGTGAGGGTTCAATCACATCCAATATTTCTTCCAGCTCCCCAAGGAACATGACCTGTTAGTACATACAAAACACAAAATGTCAGGTACTTCATTTAAAAATCCAAATGAATGATGAGGATTAATGAGAGTTTATAATGTTTTAAGAAAACTTTACACATAAAACCAAACAGGAACAAATTAGGCATTGTCTTATGTTAGATGTTCATGTCACAGAGTTCAGCAGAGGGCACTTGTTAAGAGCAAATTCCCTATAGCTTTGAAAGTATGATTCTACTTACTTTGGAAAAAATCCTCTATGTGCTAAATCTATAACCCAGAACAAGGGGCACTTACACATTGCAGCAAGGCCCCTGGGAAACAGCAATGCCTCCGTGGGGCCTTCCTCTCGATTGCTATCAGCCTGGCATCTGCCCCCCTACTCTTATTTTTCAAACAGTGGAAGAGTACCCTCCTGCACGGATGGATAAAGGCTCACAGTGGCACACGCCGCTCTCTGCTAAATGTTTACAGCCCCTGCTGTGTTAGGTGCTCCTCTAGGATACACTAGTTAACAGAACACAGAGAGCCAGAGAGACACAAATGAGCAGGTTCACCCACACACAGGTACCACTTTAAACCCATGAGCACACACTGACCCAATCTGCACGTGCACACACGTGTGTATGTGTGCACAACTGCTCCCTATAAAGCACAACGAATCCCAGCCTCAGCACCATGTGTCTCAAGAACAGAGCTTTAATTTCTCTTTTTTTTTTTTTAAGATAGATTTATTTATTTTAGAGAGAGGGAGAGCGAGTGCTAGCGGGGGCGAGGGGGGGGGACGGACAGAGGGAGAGGGAGACAAGTAGACTCCCCACTGAGCAGAGAGCCCGACACAGCTGAGCCCAGGACCCTGCGATCACAACCTGAGCAGAAATCAAGAGTCGGACGCCTAACCGACTGAGCCATCCAGGTGCCCCAAAACTGAGCTTTTAGATCACTGCGTGGAGCCAAAGTAATAGCACAGTCAATTGTTTAAAATGCAATGGAAAGGGGCGCCTGGGTGGCTCAGTCGGTTACGCAGCTGCCTTTGGCTCAGGTCATGATCCCAGGGTCCTGGGATTGAGCCACACATCAGGCTCCTTGCTCAGCGGGGAGCCTACTTCTCCTCTGCCTGCCATTCCCCCTGCTTAGGCTTGCTCTCTGTCTCTCTCTCTCTCTGTTTCTCTCTCTCTCGTGTCAAATAAAATCTTTTTAAAAAATAAATAAATAAAAATAAAATACAATGGAAAACTGACAGAGAAATAAAAATCAGTTATGTATTTAGGCATAAAAAATAATTACCTTATAAAAAAAATTAACTATGCAATTAATATATGAAAAGTTACCATGTTTTCATATCTTGAGGTGCATCTGGGTAGCAATGTATAGCTTAATTTCATCAAACAGGTATTAAAAAAAATTAGATGACTTTCTGAAATTGTGTAAAGTAGGGTTTTGGAGAATTGAAAATGACATATTTCTGTTAAAAGTAATATATAATAGGCAGCAAACCCTTGCCATTTGTCAAGATACATCAAGAAGTTCTCCCAAAATTCTCCCCAAATGTCAAACTAACAGCGGACCTTTCTTGCTGGGCCATTTTCCACATGGTTTCTATAGAAGAGTGAGTGCAGATGTGGCCCCAGCCAGGTTCACCTCTAAGCTAAGAGACTTACTCCCTCACAACCTCACATGGCACATGCCTGCTTAGGTCTTGGCAAAAGTACAAATGATCATAGGTCAGAAATTTCCAGGGCCACTTGTGAACAGCTGAAACTAAAGGTCTGTAATATAGTTTAAAATCGTACATTGTAAGATCCCATCTCTATTATATTTTAAAGTGGAGTATTTGGGCAGGTTGCTCTAGCATCTATCTACAGCAACACCAAAGCCTCCATCCTGTGAAGGTGGTCTCTGATAAGGCTAAAAAGGTGATTCTGATAAAGCTAGACAGTGAGACACATGACCAGAGCCTGACTAGGGTTTCCCTGGGACTGAGCAGAGCGTGATGAAAAGTTCAGGGTTCAGAACCAGGGTGGAGGATTCTGGCCTAATCACTTATACTAGCATACTCAGGCTCTCGGTGCTTCAATTTGAAAACTAGTAAAATGTGAATATTTACAGTCCTGCTTTACAGATAAAATGAAAATTGGATGAAATAATGTATTTTTACACATACTAATTGGCTCAGAGCCTGACACTCTGCAGAGTATCTAGTAAGTTCTTAACACACCAACATTAAGCACTTACCTCTTTCTGACTACATGTTTTAGGCCAAAATTTCATTAACCCCCTAATAACCTAAAATGAAAAGGAGAAAAACAACGGCACTGAATTTTCCATATATACTCCATGAAAAGTAGTCTTTTTGAGGTTTTTTGAAATTACAGAAAAAAAAACTTACTGGTTCTGTGAGTGAAGGATCTTTCTCCAGAAACTGTACTATGCAATACGCCAGCTGGAGAAACAGAAAAATGAGCGACAAAATTGGAAATGCTATATACTCAAAAGGACTCAAAAGATGTATTAAAACTTCCTAAAAAGTTTCTGGACTCTGGTTTTAGTAACTTCATGTTCAATTCATTTTAAAAATAAAATATATATAAAGTGAAATAAAAAGCTACTTTTTCAAGCCAAAGATTGACACTAATAACACCCCAGGGGAATTTTTTTTAAAAGAATACTGAGACATGAAGTATCTGGCTAATGAAAAGCAGAAACATCACATTCAGTAGATTCTGAAAGTATCTGATCTACAGACAGTCTAAGCTACATCTCATGGGCTTCCTTTCTCTCTTTGCCAACCTCGACAGTACTGGGTTTTACTGCAGTTCCAGAAGAGTCCTAGACGAAACATAGGCAGCACTTAGTAAACACCCTGCTGATTGCCTAAAGTGGCCCACGCGAATGGAAGCAGTTTCATGAAGAGATAAAAGGTTGTACCTGCCCCAGCTGGAAGAGTGAGGAGTTTTACATCTGAGGCTAGTTCATCTAGGTAAGAATTCTTTTACATGCTCATGAAATGTGATAGCCTATTTCGAAAACCAGAGGCAAGATTTGTAAAAGGGCTCGTAAAGATTTTTGGGCAAGAAATCCACCCTTGCGGAACAACATTTTGATGGGTGTTCTAAATTAGAAACATATGGACTAATTTTTCCTCAAAACACAGAATTTCACATTTAAAGAGGAACATTGCTCAGAAAAATGTGTGACATTTTTATGCAAACTCAAAACATTCCCATTGGTTTGGAATACTAAAATTAAAATGCCACTACATCATTTATCTGTCCCCTAGTGACATGCTCACCACACAAGGCAGTGTTAGCACGGAAATCAGACCTGGGACAAGACACAGTATGCTTTTTAAAGTAGTGGAGGCTAAAAATAAAAAGATGTGAAAATACTGATTGTTGACTTGCGAGTATGTGCATTTGTGCATAGAAAGTGAGAAGGAAGATGAATGGATAAAGAAGATGTGGTACGTACACACACACACACACACACACACAATATGGAATATTATGCAACCATCAAAAAAAAAAAAAAAAAACAAACCAAAAACGAAATCTTGCCATTTGCAATGACATGGATGGAACTAGAGGGTACTACCCTAAGCGAAATAAGTCAATCAGAGAAAGACAAGTATCATATGATCTCACTGATATGAGGAATTTGAGAAACAAGACAGAGGATCATAGGGGAAGGGAGGAAAAAATGAAACAAGATGAAACCAGAGAGGGGGACAAACCATAAGAGACTCTTAATCTCAGGAAACAAACTGAGGGTTGCTGGAGTGGTGGGGGCGGGAGGGATAGGGTGGCTGGGTGATAGACACTGGGGAGGGTATGTGCTATGGTGAGAGCTGTGAATTGTGTAACACTGGTGAATCAGAGACCTATGGTTCTGAAACAAATAATACATTATATGTTAAAAAAAAAGAAGAAGAAGAAGAGAGTAGGAAGGGAAAGGAAAAATGAAGGGGGGGAATCGGAGGGGGAGATGAACCATGAGAGACTATTGACTCTGAGAAACAAACTAAGGGTTTTATTTATTTATTTTTTTAAAGATTTTATTTATTTATTTGAGAGAGAGAGCACATGAGAGGGGGGAGGGTTGGGAGGGTCAGAGGGAGAAGCAGACTCCCTGCCGAGCAGGGAGCCTGATGCGGGACTCGATCCAGGGACTCCAGGATCATGACCTGAGCCGAAGGCAGTCGCTTAACCAACTGAGCCACCCAGGCGCCCCAAACTAAGGGTTTTAGAGGGGAGGGAGGTGGGGGGATGGGTTAGCCCGGTGATGGGTATTAAGGTGGGCACGTATTGCATGGAGCATTGGGTGTTATACGCAAACAATGAATCATGGAACACTACATCAAAAACTAATGATGTAATGTATGGTGACTAACATAACATAATAAAATAAAATTAAAAAAAGAAAGTGAGAATGAAATAGTGAATTAACTAGAAGAGGGGGCAAAGAGCAACTGATAGACAAACACAAATGTGGATGAGATAAAATATTCCAGAATACTCCAAAATGATTACACATGTCCAAAGCTCTAAAACTGGAAAACCCACTACATTTGATTGTACACAACATGTTCAATATGTAATTTTGTGAACCAGGCAAGTCCTCAAAGTTCTCTGTAAAATGACTGAACAAATGCTCCTCCCACTTGAAAAATATTCCCATGATTCTCCTATGCACAGAAGAACAGAGCACACATTTAAATTCTCCTCGGGGAGCATTTTAAATGAGTTTTTTTAAATTAAGGAAATATCAATATCAAAGAAACACTGAGTTTGTAAACTTTTAATTTTGCTTCTAAAAGTAGTTACATAAAATTCTACCTGGGCATGGAAGAGTGATAAGCTCCTGACAGTGTGTAAAGGGATCAACACTTTCACCAGAAACTGTTTGTGTTCTGCCTTAAGAGGTAAAGCAAAGCCATTGATAATACTAGGAAAAAGAAAAAGAAACATGAATTAGCAGCATGATCACAACCAGCTAACCTGAGACAACCTGCTCCTGGAAAACCAAGTTAAATCTGAATCAGTTTACATTTGGTCCAAAACAACCCAAACCCCACCCAGTGACATTCAGGATTTCGGAGTTACTTCAAAGAGTATGTTTAAGTGGAAGGAAATTTCAGAAAATTTGCTTATGATATAACCTAGCACAGGCTCTTATGCTCTTTTCACCTAGCTGGATGATTCCCAAAAGCTTTTGTAATCAATAACTCTTTATTTTTCCTTCCCCCCAAAATCGCTTGCCCTCCTCACTTAGGACCCTTTCCATTTGCAGACACCATTCCTGAAATTTCTTCTCCAACCAAGAATACCACAGACATAGAGCCCCCACCTGGGAAAATCACAGAAAAAACCATGTGACTCCACTTTTTCTCCTTACATTAGGAGGAGACACTAAGTAATCACACTGTCCAGTCACATTAACCTCCCTTGTGTAAAAAAACCTACACAACAGCTGTCTCGTTCCAATTCATTCCACTTCTCCCGGCAGCAGCTGTTGAGGGACTACACCTGGGTACATGGTTCCTTTGAAAATGGCAATCTTTCCAATTCATTTTAACTTGTTTTCAAAAGATATGGCAAAGGACAGGTAGCCCAGAAACGAACAGAGAATAAGATGTGGAGTAATGGGCTTGACTGCAATTAGATGTATTGTCTTTGTAGCAATGAACAAACTGTTAGCTCTTTCAGTCATTCCAGTAGAATTAGCAATGCATAATTGTGGAACAAGGAAGAACAAGAAATCATGTCTTGTAAGTCAGTTGGGAAACATGCGAAAGCACAAATTAGAGTACCCAATGTACATACAGCAAGAGATCTAGGTCAGCATTTCCCTGTGCCATTTGAATCTAATTTTCAAAATGCTATTCACCTGAGATTAGCAATTAGCTAAAAATGTGCTTACCTTCCTAGTATTTCCAGCAGTTCAGCTACACCATTGAAGTGTTCTGTTTCATAAACAAACCTTTTTTAAAAAGAAAAGAAGTAAAGTCAGTACACGATATTCAAATATTTGAAGTTTATTTAACACTTCTATAAAACCACCACTTTTGCTTCTCCTTCTCCCCCCATCCTCCACTTACCTTAGAAAAATATTGTTAATCTGTTTTCTGATAAATGCTCTAAGACCAAGAAATTTGCCATAAATTCTGTGTAAGACTGTTTTTAAGTAGTCCCGTTCCCGAGGGTCTTCGCTGTCAAATAGCTCCAAAAGCTGTTGTAAATGAAAGACAGTGTAGCTGTCAAAAGTGGGTCCAGGAAACGATTTAGGAATTCTGCCACTCATCATTTAAAATCCCTCCCTCCTTTACTTCTTCAAAAATTTACTGAGTATCTGTTATGTGCCAGGCACAGTACTAGTCTTTGGAAACACAGTGATACATTAAGTCAGATAAGGGGCTTATATTCTAATGAAGAGATAGACACAGTAACAATAATCATAACAACAGAACACATATACAGCACTTAGTATGATCATCACTCAATTTTCTAAGCCATCTACTTGTACTAATCCTCCCTATGAGGTAGTTTTCGGTATTAAGTAGGCTCCACTCCAATTGAGGGGCTTGAACTCACAACCCTGAGACCAAGACCTGAGCCACCCAGGAGCCTCCCCACAATGAGGTAGTCTCATCCCCATTTTACAGATGAGGAAATCGGAGCACAGAGATGTTAGGCAATTTGCCAATGGTTTCACACTAATATATGGCAGAGCTGGGATTTGAACCCAAGCGATCGAAGGGCCCTAGAGTCTGTCATCTCAGCTGCCGCACTATTATAACATAAACTACCTACTGAGCTTATGTTCCAAATATACAGTTTTAAGAGGAAGGCTTCAGCTCTACTTGAGCATATAGGTAAATGAAACAACCTAAACCAAAACCAACATCTAAAAGTCCCCAGAGATACCGAAAATGTTCTCTTTGTAGAACTTGGTTCTTGTTACACAGGTGTGCTCACTTTGTAAATACTCATTGAGATGAACATTTACAATTTCTGTATGTATGCTATACATGAATAACATCTGTTAAGTTTCTACTCATTTGTAATCTAAAGTTAAAAACTGAATCCTGGTATCAACACATCAACGCAAAAACTTGCACATGAATGTTCACAGCAGCATGATTCATAATAGCCAAAAGTGGAAACAACCCTAATGCCCATCAAATAATGCATGGATGAGCAAAATGGGCTACAATGGACTATTATTTGGCTATAAAAGGAAGGAAGAATACTGATATATGCTACCACATGGATGAACCTCTCAAACATCATGCTAAGTGAAAGAAGCCAGACACAAAAGGCCAATTATTGTATGATTCCATTTATATGAAATATCTGGAATACACAAATCCATACAGACAGCAGAATGAAGAATGTCTGCTAAGGAATATGGAGTTTCTTTGGGGGATAATAAAAAGTATTCTGCGATTATATAGTAGTGATGGGTGCACAAGTTGGTGACTTGTACACTAAAAACCCTGAATTATAAACTTTAAAAGGGTGAATTTTATAGTATGTGAATTATATCTCAATAAGGTTTTATTTTTTTTTAAAGATTTTATTTATTTGAGAGAGAGAGAGCACAAGAGGGGGCAGGGTCAGAGGGAGAAGCAGACTCCCTGCTGAGCAGGGAGCCCAATGCAGGAACTCAATCCTGGGACTCCAGGATCATGACCTGAGTCGAAGGCAATCGCTTAACCAACCGAGCCACCCAGGCGCCCAAGGCTTTATTTTTTTTAAATGACAGTGGGCAGGTTCTTCTCTAGCTGAGGAACAAACTTGGGAGACTGGTTTGAATTTTACTGTGTTCCTCATACATTCATTATCATCACAATAAAGCAAGACTCATTGTTTATACTAAAGTTGACTTTATAGTAAAACATTTCAAGAACATACAGACAGTATACAAATGAACGCAGACTACCCTAATTACCAAAATAGCTATCAAGACATACATAAGCATGAATCAGGTGATTAAGACATGCAGTTGACAGCAGAAGAATAACTCAGTGGGCAGTAATCAAATAAATTATCTACTTTTGCTTGCTGCTTTTCTTTGAACAGAAGACAAAATTATAGACAAAGAACGGCCCTTCAAATAATGGCAGGAAGTACAAACTGAAGGAGAATCTTCAAAATTGGGCAGTGAGACAGATGTAATTTTTGGCTACACAATGTCATCCAACCATCCAAAAAATGAATACCTCAAATAAATATGTATGCCTATTAAGAGCCAGCCACTGGGCAAGGTGTCAGGGATACAATGATGAGCAAGACAGACACAATCAGCTTTCACAAAGCCTAGTCTAAATGAGGGATATAGGTAAATAAACAGCGTAAGTGGTTTAGGATGCTAAAGACATAGCAGACAAATCTACTCTATTTGGGAGAAGTAGAGTAATAAGAAAGGCATCTGGAGGAAGTGACATCCAGGCTGACCTATGAAGAAATCAGGAGGTTGAAGTGAAGGTCAACAGCACATACTTTCACCAGGAGCCTATCAGAATAGAAGATGATGTTAAAACACCTGCCATCTCTCTGCCCATTTAGCCACGCAATCAATCAACCAATCAATCAATCTCTGCATATGCCAGGAATTGTCCTTGTTGCTGTGCACACACATTCACTACTCAACAAAGCTTGGAGCCCAAAGGGAAAGCAATGAGCAAGTCAACTATACATTTCCACAGGAAACAATCTAAGAAAGAAAGGTATGTGGCCCTTATAAGTAAAAAAGGCCCCGAGGGCTCAGTATCTCTTATCTATCACACACACAAAATGACGTAAGATCTCTAACCTACTCATCCTATTCCTTGTTAATGGAAATAACTAACCTTTTAAGTTCTCTTTTTTAATTTGGGTCCTATTTTTAAGTGTTGTAAAAGGATTTAACGAGTAATTTGCAACCAACATAAGTAAGAGAAAGTTTGAGGGAGTATACTGTTAGCAAAACCTGAATCAACTACACTTAGGTATGTACTATTAATCTTAAGAGTTTAATGAAAATATAATAATTAAGCAAAAATTATTTAACTAATGTTTTCATTAGGCCCTCGAAAGACATGCATTACCAGGCATCTAACTTAAGTCATTTACAAAGCCACAAATATAAATATATTATGTCCTATGAGAAAGAAAAATTACAGTATATAAATTACTTTTCTGCTGCTCTACAGAACACATTTTTGATGATTTTATGGTGTAAAAGACAAAAGAAAAAGTATAATAATGCACAGGCCCCAAAAAGGGGGAGTAGGATGAGTTCTGATTTCCAAAACAAAATGTTTGTGCTTAGTCAAATTCACACTCCCCACAAAAAAGCAATGAGAAATATAATCCAGCATTTGTAAATGCCTAGAGGACTCTATTCCCTAGAATATAGCAGCAACTTGTCAGAGAAAAGAAGCTGGAGAGTTTCCAAGGTGATTACAGAGCAAAGACAGACCTGCCAACATGCTGACTCCTAACAGTTTACAAAACCAGCCTTCCTAAAGCTAACAAACAGGGATGACCCATGGAGTGATTTAGCCAAAGAACCCTCCTTTGAACCTCATAAAAAATCTACAGTGAAATGAGAAGGGCAAAATGAAAAAGGCAGTTAGGGTCTCCCAATCAGAGATGGGAGACTGAAATTTTTTCCTCCTGAGCCCTCTCTGAGATGAGAATAAAGAAATAAAAAAGGAAGAAACACACGGGGCAGAGAGGAGTAGAGAGCAAATGAGACAAATCTGCACATTTTTCAAAGATGGAAAGTGGATGGCAAGGGGTAACTATCTTAGGTTTCCTCTTTCTCCATTCTGCTAAGTGTTTTTCCATTCTGCCAGCAGGGATGGAAGCCAAACAAGAAGCAAGCCAGTTCACACCAGAGAACCCTTAAAAGGCTTAAGAATTGAAGACGCCAGATATATTTGATGGCAAGGGTGTGGGGAGCTAAAAACAGGAGGGCTGGTTGAAAGTTTGTCGAAAAAGTAACAAGACCTCCCAGATCCATGTCCCACACAGTGGACTGAAGATTTACAATCAAAGTCTGGAGAGCATAAACATGCAAGTCTCTAGTCTTCAAGACATGTACACAGTAAAGTGAAAAATTTATTGAAAATAAAAGGATTAAATAAAACTGCATGCTGAAGAATGAGACATTTGCTGGCACCCTTCCCGACTAAGCCCCCAAAATTCTGGATGAGGTAGGGAACAGGAAGGTCCTTTTTGAGGGACCTCAGCCTCAGCCTCTTGACAGCCTCAAGAGGAAACACCTATTGATACACTATTATTTGAGGGTTTCTCAATGAAAGAGCAAGGTCTTTGCTCAATGTACTAAGTGCCTCCCATTTGTGTGCATGCACATGTGAGCGCATGCGTACACACACACACATGCTCTAAGAAGGCTCTTAGATGGCCCTAAGAAGCCTCTCTGATGACTAACATGTAACTATGAAGCCAAGGATCACCAGACAACCTAACATAAAAGACAGAGACCAAAACAAACAATTACAAAGAACTCAGAGGAAATAGTCACAATGCAAGTAAAAAACAAACAAACAAAAAAACTGCAGAAAAGAACTTATCCTCAGAAATAAACAAATCGACTGGATCCCGGAAACAAAAGCAGAGCTGTTACAGATGAATATTCAGAAAATAAAAAAGAACTTTTGGAAACTCAAGATGTAACAGAAATAAAAATTTCAGAAGAACGGTAACATTAAAATGAAAAAATGTATACTGAAAGTATAACCAAAAGAAGATAGTGTATAGAAGAGGTTAACTAGAGGATCAATCCAGAAGGTCCAACACATTCCAAAAAGGCACAGAGAATAGGTACAGACACACAAAAACAAAGAAAATGAAATTATCTGAGAAAGAATTCAATGCAATTAAAAAAAAAAAAGACATGAATTTCAATATATATATAAGGGCCATTATGTTCTCTGCACAATGAATAAACAAAGACCTGAACCAAAGCACATCACTTTAGATTATCTGGACACTGGAGACAAAGAGTAGATCTCAAAAGCTTAGAGAGAAAATAGGTCACTATAAAGAATAAGGAGTTCAGCTGGTGTAGGCCTCCTCAATACTAACACTGGAAATAGAAAACAATCTAGAATTCCCTAAAACTTCTAAGGAGATATGGGTTCTTTTTTTTTTTTTTAATGTTTTATTGATTTATTTGACAGAGAAAGAGTGAGCACAAGCTGGGGGAGCAGAAGGCAG